TATAATGCATATATTTTTTATTTATTGGATAGGTGCTACAATAAACAGTTAATCTGTATTATAATATTATGTAACTTACGACAAAGTTTCCAAATTCAGGTCCTCTGAGCAAGGCAATTCAATTTCACTCAGAGAGATACTATTTTCTCTTATAATCTGTCAAGACAGGAAGCAGTAATACTTGAACATCACTGTTTTAGTTACAAACATAATACTCTGAAGAACAGATTACTATTAAAAAAAAAAAGAATAGCTTACTATTTGTCATGTTATACAAATATAATGAGCTTTATTAAATCATTTCATTCAAAGGCCTATATTTCAATCAGAATGATCAAATTTCAAATTTAAAATGAGGTTTAAAAAAAAACTAAGGCTCAACAAGTATATTCTGAATCAATATAATGTAACATTTCACATGATATTTCACTGAAATACCACACTGAATTCAGTATTCAAAATTCTGTAGAAATGGGGAAGGACAGGAGAAAAGGAAAAAGGCAGTTGGAGAAAACGCTCATCAGAGACACGCATTTCTTCATTTGATGTCTGTGGCACTAAAGGTCCCCCGACCTACAGAGGAGCAGTCAGTCCTTCAGCTAACTACCTGAGTGAGCTAAGCTAAGCTGTCCATGTTTTCATAAGTAGTGTTTAGAAACACCTCCCCTTTAGTATAGGTAGTGAACACCTATGAGAAACTACACAATATCCAGCTTTAACAACCAAAAACAGATTTGATCCTTTTAAAAAAATACAAATACAATGGCTGGGAATATAGCTCAGCAACACAGTGCCTGCCTGGCAAGCATGAGGTCCTGAGTTCAATTCCCACTGCCAAAAAAAAGAAGGTAATATATTTTCTAAACATATGAAACACAAGTACATGAGAAAAACACTGCAGACTTATCTTTAGGAGACTGCACAGGAGAGAAAGCAATATTCACAAGTCACTAGTTACAGTCTTTTATGTACTGAATATCATCAAATGGAAAATTTCAAACAGCTTTTCTGTTTGAAAAAGGAGACAGTTCAGTTGGCTTTGGAATGCAAATTGATCGCTTTTCTATCTTCCTTTTAATTCTGACTGTTACTCAGAAAATGAGTGACATTCTAAAGAACTCATAGGAGTCCAAAGTAAGTGATTTATACTGAAGCGGACAACCTGTTGTTAACATTCACGTATACTAAAGTGTCTGCCGATGACATCGTACAGGAGTGTGACAGTTCTGCTTTGACAACAGGCTTTTTTCTATGTTTTCAGTCTTCAAAAGAATATGTAACCTGGAGCTTGAAATCCCAGGAGTCACCTATGAGCTCTGCGGTCACAACTATGCTTCCTGACTGTCCTATCCTTCATCTATAAATAAGAATAAAAGAGCTTATCTTCTAGGTTTCTATAAGAATTAGATGACTGAAATCTCTTAAAATTAACACCTGGCACTAAGTAAGCTCTCTGTATTACAATAAGTATTGTTAACCTGTACCATCCCTGGTCATAACACCATACTTGATCATAAACTAAGAAAAACATCACTAAAGATTTAAGTTGTAAATGGGGGAAACTCCCTCTTGAATCTGGTCTTTTGTGATTTCTTTTTTAAAACACTGAAAGATAAGGAAAGACCAAAGACAGATATAATCACTTAAGAGCAGGCTGAAGAGCACAGGAAATAAGCACGGAAAGATCACCTAACTCCTGTCTTGTACAGGGCCCAGTGTACAATCCCAAGTGTGTGTGTGTGTGTGTGTGTGTGTGTGTGTGTACACACATGTAGTTTTATTGTAACAAAGAAACTTGTACACTTTGAATATTTAAAACTGCATATCATCTTTTCCTTTCCAGTGAAAATAAGCAAACAAAAAATTTTAAAATAAACCAACAAAATTATAATAGAGAACATCAATTCCGAACAAGACCCTATAGGTTCTGCTGATTCTCCCACTGAGTGGCAGGGCTCATTTATTTTATTTTTTTTCCATAATTTTATTGATAAACAAATAGCAATGAGACAGTTTCAAATCAAATCAGTAGGACAGTTTCAGTAATTAACACACTACATACATTCTTCTTAGTGGTTAATTGCTGTACAAGATGTGGACTTGATATCCTATTTACAAACACCATTAGAACAAATCGCTCTATTCATTAAGAGAATGTAACTATGTATTTATCCTAAACACTTTGAATACACAGATACAAAATGGACATTCATCTGTATCCCCTTTTTTTGTTAAGTTCCGTTATTTGAATATTCTAGGTGTGTTAACTCAGCAAAATATTTTAAAAGAGTCCAGCAGCCCATAATAGCATTGGGCCTTTGGCTTAACTGGCAATGTCAGAAACTGTTGACCTGAGTCCCCCACAGCTCAACATAACACCATGGCTTTACTACCTATATTTCATCTTCATACTTTTCTACTGGATGGTTAAGACCAAGGTAAAGCAGGACCTGTGCAACAAGAGTTGTAGCTTTTGGGTCTGAGACGGTCAGTGAAATCCCCTCAGGATTTGTCCTGAGATCCTGT